AGTAAAGTCTGTAAAGCTGAAAATCCTACTGATTTTTATTTAGAATTGAAATTAATTGAAAGTAAATGCAATTTAGAAGAAGAAAATGCAATAAGGGAACAAGTAAAAGAAGGAGGCCACTGAAGAAGGAAGGAAGTTTATAATTTTGCTTGTGAAAGTAAACACAAAGGAAGAGCAGGGCATTACTTCAAAGGCTAGAAAAGAAAAACTGATACATGTTGACATTTAACAAAAAATAAGCTAGAAAGGACAAACAAAACTTACCTAGCTTCTAATCTTCTTCCTGAGTATTAAGTGCTCCCTAGGTTACAGCAATAACCAGGCAATAGGAGCAGCAGCTTATTTCATGGAGAGACTTTGGTATCCCTTGGGGAACCACTCATCAGCATCAACTAGGGACCCTTTGCAAGTGGCTCAGGTTTAGAGTTTGGTTCAGAGAAACAGAGTGATGGAACAAAGTCACACAAATATTAAAAATTGTGAAGAAAATGTACTGGTAAAGAGATCAGCTAGCAAGCCAGTGGCTAAGAGAGAAAGGTTAACTCTAAAGAAACCTCCAGAATGTTAACAGTTTGTAGATTTTGCAAGAAACTCTACACAAAGGTATCAGGAGAGCAGAAGTGCAATCATAGGCAGGTCTGAGGAGGAGCCATGTTAAATGAAAATGGTGCAGAAAAATAGCATAGTTACAAGTTGAAGGATGAATTAAGGCAGTGCGGTGGGAGGTTATATGCCTGGCGGGACATCTGCCTGAATGCCAAAGGCAGTAATTTTAGCAGCAGAAAACATGAAGTAGATACAGTGTTGTGAGGTGACAGCCACATAGAGAGGAAGCAGGAGCAGCGGGTATTAAAGGAAACAAAGGATGTAATGGTTTTCCAACTATTCTGTGTCATAGACAAACAAACAGTATAAATAATGAAGCTGCAAGTTTCAGAATTACTTTAATAACCAAACCAAAACCAAACCATTGTTTTATTTTAAAATAAATAAATAAATTGGTAGTGTTCAGTGTCAAGGCCACCAATAGGTCAAGTTGTCCTGCCAACCTCACCTGGGTCCCAACCACACCCCTCTGTTTATTGGTCTGGGAGCTCCATTTAAGCTTAGGGCTGAGTACTTTTTCCTCCTTTAAGTCACAGACAGGTTTTTTTTCAGCCTTGCCTCTTTGATCTGCCTTGACTTTCTACTACAGCTGTGTTTCCAGTCTTCTCTTCTTCCAGATGGACCCTGCTGCCACCCCTGGGCTCTCCCTGACCTGCTCAGGTACTGTGGGACTATGTCCCTTAAGGGCTAGGGTCACCCTCAGCTCCTCACATAGCCCTGCTTATGCTGTTCCCTGATGATATCTCCAGTGGCACAATTGCAGGTTTTGGTGTTTCCAATAATGATATTCTTCACTATATCCTTTCCTTATACTGTGACTAAAAACTGTCAAGTAAGTACTAGGAGGAATCTTTAAAGTTTTAGCACTCAAGAGTAGGGGCAGATGACCCAGTGGTAAAACTAGACCTATCTGCAACAGAGTTTTCACCAATCGCAAAAAGCTTGCTAAGTAAAGCACTTCTCAGTTTTAAAAAAAAAAAAAAAAAAAAAAAAAAAGTTATTCTGTACAAACTGAGGTTGCTGTAGTAGTTACTCCTAGATTATACTGTGCTGGGGGGTGAAAGTCAACCTGTGTATCAGAAGTGAGAACCCAAAACAATGCCTTCTGAAAGAAAAGCTGACTGGCACGTACTCAAATGAACAAGGATATCTGGTAATCACAAAAGTGAAATTAATATGGTGAAATAGGAGTGGAATCTTAACAATCAACTGCCCAGTGAAGGCACCATAATGGGCACCACTGTAATTGACTGCAGACTGGAATCTAGGTATTAAGCATGAGTGTTGATACTTTGTTTTGCTAATAAAAAAAGTCACCCTTATTTACTGAGTAGCAAACTGAATCCAGCACCTGTTAATAGCTAAGCTGGTGGCAGTATGAAAGAGACTGTATTTTATCTACAGATCTTATGGCATTGCATATTCTGTTCATACCCAGGTTCATCCTAAAGGGGACAATAATTTGTTTGTCCCAGGAAATGTTCGTAATCATCTGCATTCCTCTGCAGTATAACCAAGGAATACATCTTATGCCTTAACAGCTGTAGGTGTTTAGCATTTTTTACAATTGTCTGTAGTTTTAGAAAGTGCAACCAGCTGATTCTTTTTAGGACAACACCCACTACCATAGAGTGATCAGCCAAAAGTGTGGGGGGAAATTCAGAACTTCATTGACTTCATAGAGACTGTCTAAATTTCTTGATAGTGTATGCTAAAACTCCCTTGCTAATTAGGGTGTTGGAGTATTGTTTACTGGTATTGATTACTTGAACTGTAAAATATAGTATTATCTGAAGTTCTTCAGGCTCTGCATAGTATCTTTGCTACTTGTCATGAAATAATGAGAAATTTGGACTCATCTATGTTAGGAGTGGCAAGATGTTCTTATGGCAAATTAAAACAAAAAATCTTGAACTGACTTTTCTGAAAAAAAGCAACAGCAGTAGGAAGACAGAAGATAAGGACCTCTGAGTCTGGAAGCTCTCAAGAATGAGCCAGTGCAGATATAAAGAGACCTTAGTGACATTGAAAAAACTCACTTGCAAGGTCAAAGATTCTCTTGATAATACAAAGGTTGCCATTGCCAGTACTGCAATGTGCAGATAGCAAAGTGTAATCAGTATCAGAACAAGTCCTTGTGTCAATGCTTGTGTTGAATGTTTTATGCTGTAAATAGGCTGCTATTGTGATTTTTTTACCTGTCCTGCCCTTCACTGCTGATAGATGGCAGCAAATGACAAAAGATTTTCAGTCTTTACTGCATTCTTCTGTAGAATCCTCCTTGTTAAAAACAAAATGGTGCTGCTTCCACACTAGCAAAATGTATGACCCCTGTAAAAGCCAAAGGTATGACTTAACACGCTATATAATTATAGATAAAAGTGAAACTTTGTCCGTTGTGTTCCTGTTCCCTGTGATCCTGGAAGGTTTCTGATTCTGAGTGAATATTTTTGTTCTGCACTACATTGAATGGTTGCTTCTCTAGTAACTTGATGTGGATCAGAAAAGCATTTTTTTCCTAAGTTTTGATCTATTTTTAACTTTCCTCTGGTCTTGAGGTCCAAACATGTAAACAACTCGTTATGTTGCATAGCAGATAGGAAAGATGTGGTGGTAGTGGTGAAATTACCTATTGGAGAGGGCCAATAAAATAATTATTTTAATGTTTATTGTTAAGTTGTTACTGTTGTAAGAACTCCTGAAACACAGACAAAGAGACTACGTTTAGGAAGGAGACATTGTTATTTATTGCAGGTTTTTACATAGCTGGGTGCTTTCCATGACATATTTATACACAAAATGATAAAGTTGGTAACCTTCCAAGTCCATCCTCCTTATAGTGACTAGTTAGAGATTTACATATAGTTACATGCCTTTTTCTGCCATCATGCATGTTCAGGGGAAGGGTCTTTACCTGGGCAGGGGTCTTTTTGACCCGTGGATGTGATTTTTAGAATCATAGAATGTCTTGGGTTGGAAGGCACCTCTAAAGGTCATCTAGTCCAACCCCCCTACAATAAGCAGGGACATCCCACACTGGAACAGATTGCTCAGAGTCCCATCAAGCCTGACCTTGAATGTCTCCAGGGATGAGGCCTCCATCACCTCTCTAGGCTACCTGTTCCAGTGATCCACCCATCCTCCTATTAAAGAACTTTCTCCTAATGTAGTTTGTTCAACCTAAATCTACCCTTCTCTAGCTTGAAACCATTACCCCTTGTCCTATCGTTACCTTGTGAACAGGTCTTTCCTAGCCTTCTTATAGGCTCCTTTCAGATATTGGAAGGTCACCATAAGGTCCCCCTGGAGTCATCTCTTCTTCAGACTGAACAACCCCAACTCCCTCAGCCTGTCTATTATTTACTATTATAATAACTGTATTATGAGCTAAGTTCACCTAAAGGACACAATCTACAGCTTCAACTGCCCAAGACCTGTTTAGCCATCAATCTTCTTGATTCTGGTTCTTCTTCACCTCCTGCATTCCTTAGATCCAATTATCTGCTTAGATCTCAAGTCTTTTCTGCCAAGTTGGTGATTTACATGAGACACTCTCTCAACCTCTTGATTAACTACTTTCTTCAAGGCTTGGTTATTGCAAGATGTCCTCACTCAGTGCCAGCTGTGGTACTATGTGCCTCTCTGACCGTAATTTTAACTTGTATCTACATACAGAGAACATCTTACACAAAATAACCCCATCATTTTACATTTCTGAGTCATTTTCCAACACAGTCAACCTGCCACTTTATCTGTAAGAGAAAGCTGAGTTCATCTTCTAAGGTCAGTTATATGTTGCTTCTAGTGTAGAATTCTACATGAAGACACCTTGATGCTTTCTTCAAGGCAAGTGAAGGGGAAAAAACTGCAGGGAATAATACTCCAGGGAAAAATCTTTGTGGTGTTTATTTGGAGACTCCGTCTGCTAAACCCTGAGTTTCTGGCCTGTTATTTTTGCATATTTAGCATCTACATGAAAGAAATTACATTCTAAAGCATCCGGAAAGGTTTGCTAATGGAAACATGAGCACTAATAGATATCACTGAAGGTTTGCTGAGTAGTTTGCATGAAGTAAGCTTCCTGTCTCCAAGGCCTGCTGCCATGGCTGAGGCGTCCGGCGCCTTCCTGCCTGGCTTTGGCGTTTGCCTCAGTCAGTGGCTGAGCAGGACGGAGGAATGAGCTTTGAAGTGTCTTGAGAGAAGTCAGCCATGCAGCCTTGCTAGCGAGGGCTGCCCTGGTAAACCTGGGGTCTTTGGGGTATGTTTAGCTCTCCGCTACTTCCCAGACTATCACCCCAAATTACTTCAGTTCAGCCACATACGGCAAATATTTTTGTGTTTCAAGGACTCCTATAGATCCCTGAAGATGGATTGTGCAGGTTACCTGTCCCGGGATGTCTGAGCTGGGAGGCCTGGGCGGCAGCCCTAGAGCGGGACACAGCCTCACTCAGGTCTCTGTAGCACACAACGTGTTTTTAACCTCAGGTGAGAGGGAACAGCCCAGCGAAGCCCTCGGGATGGGCCGGCAGGTGAGGGGCCGGCAGGTGAGGGGCCGGCAGGTGAGGGGCCGGCAGGTGAGGGGCCGGCAGGTGAGGCGCCGAGAGGCCGCGTCCCCCAGGCAGGGCGAGCTGCTCCCGAGTCGCGGTTCCTCGGGCAGCAGCCGGGGCTCACCTTGAGCTCCGGTATCCCCG